CTAAATCTCTTGTAATATGCAGAGGCGTAGGCTAGGGGAGGCGGCCGCCCCGGGCGCCGAATTAAGAGGTGCGCCAAACGTGGTAGATAATAAAATAAAAATCGCATTACTGAATTATTTACAGTCGAAGTAAAGAATACAGGGTGATACTTAGCATTACGAACATATTTAGTTGTTTTCTATATCAATTGTGTGACACTTAAATACAAAGGCAAAGTGACTGGTAAAAAGCGCTCCGACCTTTCCAAATGAGGGGATGGGGGCGCTTTTTCTCCTACGAGAATAACTATTTATATACCTGATTTTGGGAGGGGGCGCAAAATTAATAGTTCGCCTTGGACGCCGAAATAAATCGCAACGCCTTTGGTAATATTCCCGAGAAATAGTCACTGGTTAGGGTATATCATGAACACACAATGAACAACCCTGAATGCTGTGTTCTGTCATAGCTCTGCCCTAGGTTACCTAGTGGATACAGATTGGGGGATGTTGGGTTTAAGTAGAGGCAACATTCATATACAAGTCAGAGTTAGGCAATTTATTTTGTTTATATTATAACTGCCGGAAAAAAAATCCGTTTTTTGTTGTTTGTTTAACGGTCGGAAATACCTATGTAATTGTAGAGATGACTGCCTAAAAAACAAACAAATAAATTATAAATGTCTGTTATTAATGTGTGTAACTATTGTCAGCAGCTTTAGATTGTGTGTGGGTAGGAATTATTTTTATCAATACAAGCAATTACTTGCGGGTTGGGGGAAAGGGAAGGGGTAGGGCGGCGGAGGGTTGATGTTGAGTGGAACGGGTTGTCAATGTTTGGATGTTGTAGGTTGGGGAAAAACCCTTTGGTAACCTGCCAACCCGATCTTAAAATATTAAAAATTCAGTTCATGTTATATACTTGGTAAATTGTGAAGAAATAAACATCAGTTCATGTAATATACTTTGATAATTTTGAGGAAATAAACATCAGTTCATGTTATAGACTTGGTCCGTTGTGATGAAATAAACATCAGTTCATGTTATAGACACATCCCCTCCCACGCCAATCTTTACACATGTATAAAAAGAGGAGCATCAATCCAATACAACACCTTTGAGTGATGGCGCGACTGCAGATTGTCGAACCTCTTTAATTGTTACAGATGTAGCTGTTTTTTACGGATGTAACTTTAAAAAACCCAGGATGTTACAAGATGGATCGTCTAGAGCAGCAGTCATCGTTTGTCATTTTTCTCATCCACACCCTACGTCATACCACACTAAATAGAATGTTATAGACACAACCACAACCACACCCACACAACAAAACCACACTCTAGACAGAAAAAGTTCATAGACACACCCACCAAATATACAACACAACCACACACTCATAGATGCAATAAAAATCACAAATATATAGTTGCAATAAAAGCCACAAATACATAGTTGCATTTAAGTCCGTGAAACATCAAGCAAGAAATGAGTAGAGAAAGCTTTGAAGGAGTCGTATAGAAACAAGTGTTGGATTACCACCGCTATACCCCCCCCCCCTTATGTAAAATATAAGAACATTTCCCCCCCCCCCAGTCTATTGTATTATGTAACACGCACACGATGAAACCTTTATTTCTTCTTTACCTCCCTTGTCAGATCTGATTGAAATAAAAACCTCTCTTCGGTGATATAACGGCATATTTAAATAAATCAGGGGAAACAAATCCACAAACAATTGGAGCACCGCCTTAGATTTCAAGTGAGTCTATTCTCCTGGCCTCAGTAGGCCTATTCCTGGTGGAGCTCATTTGTTTTCTAAAAATATTGCAAGGCCTTATGGTAGTGTGTTGACGTCATGCATTTGTGTGCTCATAACAAAGATTTGCATTAAAAAAAATTCGTGCTTTGAAGTGTTAAAAATAGCCTCTCTAAACGTTTGATTTTCCGAGGATTTGTGAAATACAGCCTCCTTATCTCAAATGGTAAATATCGTTTGCTAGGCTGGGATTTCAAGAAACGAACGATTTCCCATGATATATCGCGCGCAGTATAACATCTAAAGGATATTTCATTCAGAAATATTTGTGCCTTGATCTATGATAACATATTTAACCGGTGTGATATGGCGTTCATATTGTGCTATGGCAGGGGTTGGCAGCCTTTTGATACGCAAGAGCCAAAAGTTACAATTTACAAACTTTCCCAGTTTTAAGAGCCACAACATTTTTAGTTCAATATTCGGTATTTGATTAGGATTAGGTAAATAAAGTTGATTTGTTATTTAAAATAAATAGCTTTAACTAAATATGAGATAATATTTATTCATATAAAAACATAGACATGTTTCGCCAGAATTTTAAAACTAGTAATCAAATAATATTATTCTAGGACTATCTCAATTTAGTTTAGAAGCTTTTAATTTTAATTTTAATTTTATTTTTTCTTTACGGATATCACTGGCTCAGGATGTGTCTCCCATTAGCCAGGCAGCCCTAAACACGACAAACTCCGACTAACTGGTTATCGATACAGTAATGAGCTATATGTACCACAATATTTGTGCTATTAAAACACTAGTAAGCTTTCTGCAGCACTATAGCCGTGCTATTTACAAACCGATAAGCTATTGGTAGCACTACATTAGTGCTATTGACACGTTATTAAATTTATCTGCAGCTAATTTTGGGCTATTTACACGCCATTAGTAGAGGCGTTTACACAGAACTAACAACACAAACTGGTTAACTTATCACACAGCCCGTCTTAGATTAGCATCGATCTCCTGGGCTTTCTTGAAGCGTCGCTAGCAGACGACGACAAACTTTGGGGCCGCGTGTTTGAACGAACCGCTTTAAACTTCCAATATTGATCGTCTTTGATTTCTATCGCTTCCAAAAAAAAAAAAACAACAAAAAAAAACAACACTTTTATTTAGATGTAAAAATGAATTAAAAATCACCAGATTCGCGTTCACGTGCTAGCATCAAGTTTTGGGGAGTTTTGAGACTTGATGTCGCTGTCACGTGACCCGGATCTAGTTTGCACCGCGTTCACCGCGTCTTGCCGTGCGTAATGGCACCATTAGATGCCGTGCGTGTCCGTGCAAGTCTGAGACTAGTTGCAGACCAGCACTGTCCGGATCCTAAGCGGCGAGGCTCTAGTTTAGATTATTAAAACATCAGCACGGGGTAATCAGGTATGGGATTATCTTCCAGATTATTGAGTCTTAAGTCGCGCAGTAAGACAGGCGAATGCAGGCATTGTTCAAATCTTATGCTAATGTTGGTCTGCGTGTTTTGGTTACATCTTGACCACAAGACGTTGAAACTTTTCTTGACTTCTCAGTCGGCGTAGCAACCAGAGAATCGAACACGAGACATTCGGGCGAGTAATCGAGTGCGTTACCCATCGACCACGCTAGCACATCGGATAGCGTTAACACTATAGTTAGGATGTCTACAAAGCGTAGCTGTAGCAGACGACTGCAGAGAATAACAGACCACGGCAGACCACATCAGACCACATCAGACCACATCAGACCACATCAGACCACAATAGACCACATCAGACCACAATAGACCACATCAGACCACATCAGACCACAATAGACCACATCAGACCACATCAGACCACATCAGACCACAATAGACCACATCAGACCACATCAGACCACATCAGACCACATCAGACCACATCAGACCACAATAGACCACATCAGACCACAATAGACCACATCAGACCACATCAGACCACATCAGACCACAATAGACCACATCAGACCACGTCAGACCACAATAGACCACAACAGACCACTGTAGACCACATCAGACCACAACAGACCACTGTAGACCACATCAGACCACGACAGACCGCCCTAAAAACATTAGTAACAACAGACGCTTAAATCAAGATGTCGCTAGTTTGGTCATTACAGGTTGGAATTAAAATGTGGATAGTAAAACATCACAGGTAAATGTGACAGGAACTTGACAGAAATGTGATAGGAATTTGATAATAACCTTGTAAGAATGTGCTAATAATGTAAAATTCATGGCGTTCGCTCTGGGTTATTCAGTAGTTGATACTAGTCGGATTTCTTTTGACCGCCGCTGTGAAATCAAAAGATTCCTTTTTAAACGTTGCTGTCTGCTTGATTCACCAGCTCTTAGTTGGGGTTAGATTTAGTCATGTGATACATCGTCATGTGATATTTAGAGATCAAAAACATAGACCTCATTTTGCTTAGCATATATCGTAGAGGTAGAGGAGGGGTGGTAGGGAGAAGAGGGGGAGGGGAGTGGTGGGGGTAAGGGAGGTGCGGGGAAGTGGTGGGTGGTGTGGAGGTGTAAGAAGTAGTGGGGGTTTTGGAGGTGGGTGGTGTGTGGGTGTTAAAGGTGCTGGTGGGTGGTGTGGAGTTGGGAGAAGTGTGGGGGACTAAGTGTTTGTGTGTGGGGTGAAGTTGGGGTATTGTGTGTGAAGTAGAAGGGAGTGTGGGTCTGAAGTGTGGAGGTGGGGGTAGGGTAAGATGTGGGTGTGTGGAAACTGATAAGTTAATGCGAGGCTGGAGCATGGTCCACGAATCGAGGTGGCATGGGTTTAACACGATACATCACCACCAAGACTTCAACAAAAAGGGCTCATTAGCTAGACATCAAGACAGAGGTCACTTTCATGGCTGTAGACAATCTATAGCTAGGCACGACCTAACCAGTCAGCTAGCCAATAACTCTCTCAAATTAAATATTGCAAAACTAGATTTGGGAGAAATAAAAAATCGCACCACATTGAAAAAAAAATAAAAATAAAGAAATAAAAAAGGCGGGAAATCTCCACGGAAGAATCTATCAAGTGTTAAAACAAATGATTGTCTATCAAGATGGCGGCTGAATGATCGTCCGTCCCCCGACTGCACTGAAAGGGTTAAAAATAATAATAGAAAATTACTGGCATGGGTTGCTGAGAGTCAATGACGCATGGTCAATTTTATTCTTAATAATTTTTTTCTCTTTTTTTCCTTCCAGAAGACAGAGCGAGATTTTCTCATTTACAGAGGGGACTAGAACCGGAAGTTGCTGAGACGTTGGGTGAGCCAGATGAGGACGAGGGTGGGGAGATGAGGGGCGTCATAGACTCGCCCTGGGCAGTCTTATCTGAGCCCCACAGCAAGCGTGGAGGGTACCATCGAGACAGCGTAGGTAGGTCAACAGGCAGGCAGGGACAACATGGACGTTGTGATTGGGGTGGGGAGGTGGAGGGGGTGGGGTAGTTCTGTTGGACTTTTAGAAGCTGACCCTCATTGTTGACTGCGTTTTTTTGAACACTGACCACAGATGTAGACTGTGTAGGTGGGGTGGGTGTGGTTTTTTTTACTGGGGGTGGATGTGGGTAAGTATATATTTGAACACTGACCACCGATGTAGACTGTGTAGGTGGGGTGGGTGTGGTTTTTCGCGAGGCTGAATGAATTTTGGCAACTGATCACCTATATTGACTGTGTAGTTGGGGGTGGGTGTGGGTTGGTTTGGCTGTATTTATTTACCACTAAACACCGATGTTTACTGTGGAGGTGGGTGTGGGTTGGTTTGGCTGTATTTATTTACCACTAACCACCGATGTTTACTATGGAGATGGGGGTGGGATGGTATGAGTGTATTTTTGGCCACTGAACACTGCTGTTGACTGTGTAGGCGGGACCACTTTTGGAGGTTGTCATCAGTGTTGATTGTAGGGGTGGGTGGCTTTGGACGAGTTGATGTCATGACATGGGTTGTCCAACTAGGTTGATGTCATGTCAGGGGTTGTGCAACTAGGTTGATGTCATGTCAGGGGTTGTACAACTAGGTTGATGTCAAGTCGGGGTTGTACAACTAGGTTGATGTCATGTCAGGGGTTGTCCAACTAGGTTGATGTCATGTCAGGGGGTCCACCGAGCTAGTTTGAGCAGATTGATACTGAAGTTATGTGGGCAGGCACTGACCCAGGGATAGTTTGAGCAGATTTTGCTGGACGCCACCCAAACAATATTGACACACAACTCCATCAGACAGTATCGGCACACAACCACCAAACTTCTTTAACACACAGCCACAACACTACCTTAACACACAACCACCAACTACCTTGACACACAACCACCAAACTAACTAAACGCACAACCACTAAACTACCTTGACACTCAACCACCAAACTACAGTAACACACAACAGCCAAACTACCTAAACACACAACCACCAAACTACCGTAACACACAACTCTTCCGAACGATTTCACTAACAGCTACATCAGAAACAATTCACACACAAACCAACGCTATAAGCGCAGACTCAAAAACAAAAACAAAACGTACATAGAAACCACCAATCCATAACACAAGCAATCCTCGTAATACCTGCCTTGTAAGGGAATTAACTCAGCCATACTTTAAGACTGTTTTTAACTCGTTTACACTCGGCATTCATGTACAAGGCCTAGTCGATGTGCTTTAATCGTGAGCATTTTACAACAGTGGTGTAAGACACACACATACACACACACACACACACACTCACACACTACCACAAGCCTAATCGTGAGCACTTTACCACATTTTCCCAACACACACACACACACAAACAGCCTCACACACACACTCACACACGACCACTAGCCTAATCGTGAGCATTTAACAACAGTGGTCCCAAGCAAACACACCTACACAAGTTCTAAAGCTCTCTAACGTGAGCACTTTACCCCATGGGTCCAACACACACACACAAACCACACACAAACACACACACACAAACACACACACACTCACACACCACCACCGCAAGCCTAATCGTGAGCACTTTACCACATTCTCTCAATACACACACGCCTACACAAGTTCTAAAGCTCTCTAACGTGAGCACTTTAGAACAGAATTCATGCCACATAAACGCCTACACAAGAAAGTTTCAGATTTTAATTTACACGGCTAGAAAATCATTTGTTTTACACTCACACTGGATAAAAATAGAAAGGAAAAGATCTAGACTAAAGAAATAGCGCGAAGACATTTCTTAGAAAACTAGTGTAAACAATGTCGTGTTAATTATGTCAACATTTTCCGTGTTCCCTAACTTCTTTAACTCGTCGTCTCCCTGATTTAAACAACTGTCAGACAATACACTTTGATGTTGTTTGCCTTTGTTTTCATTCGGATAGCTTAGGGTTAACAAAGTAAAATTAATCCGTCATAACATTTCCTGTTTGAGACTGGTATTTAGTACATGTAAACGTTTGAAGGGCCGACGTTTGCTGGTAATAAGCAGAGTTTCTTCCGAAAAAGTCTACTCCACCCCCCCCCCCCCCGAACGAAATGAAATTTATATAGAAAATATATACTTTTAACAGAGTCCGCCCCCCCCCCAAAGTCTACGACCCCCGCCCCCCCCCTCCGAAAATTTCAAGCGCCCCCCCCCCCCTCTCCCGGAGAAAAAAAAGTCTGGAAGCAACACTGGTAATAAGGTGTGGAGGGTGACCGTGTCCAGAACCAACCCAGACCCAAAGACCCAACCTATACCCAGTACAGACCCAAACCCAACCCAGACCCAAATAGCCAACCCATACCCAGACCCAAAGACCCAACCCAGACCCAAATAGCCAACCCATACCCAGACCCAAAGACCCAACCCAGACCCAAATAGCAAACCCATACCCAGACCCAAAGACCCAACCCAGACCCAAATAGCCAACCCATACCCAGACCCAAAGACCCAACCCAGACCCAAATAGCCAACCCATACCCAGACCCAAAGACCCAACCCAGACCCAAATAGCCAACCCATACCCAGACCCAAAGACCCAACCCAGACCCAAATAGCCAACCCATACCCAGACCCAAAGACCCAACCCAGACCCAAATAGCCAACCCATACCCAGACCCAAAGACCCAACCCAGACCCAAATAGCCAACCCATACCCAGACCCAAAGACCCAACCCAGACCCAAATAGCCAACCCATACCCAGACCCAAAGACCCAACCCAGACCCAAATAGCCAACCCATACCCAGCCCCCAAAGACCCAACCCAGACCCAAATAGCCAACCCATACCCAGACCCAAAGACCCAACCCAGACCCAAATAGCCAACCCATACCCAGCCCCAAAGACCCAACCCAGACCCAAATAGCCAACCCATACCCAGCCCCAAAGACCCAACCCAGACCCAAATAGCCAACCCATACCCAGCCCCAAAGACCCAACCCAGACCCAAATAGCCAACCCATACCCAGCCCCAAAGACCCAACCCAGACCCAAATAGCCAACCCATACCCAGCCCCAAAGACCCAACCCAGACCCAAATAGCCAACCCATACCCAGCCCCAAAGACCCAACCCAGACCCAAATAGCCAACCCATACCCAGCCCCAAAGACCCAACCCAGACCCAAATAGCCAACCCATACCCAGACCCAAAGACCCAACCCAGACCCAAATAGCCAACCCATACCCACCCAACCTAGACCCAAATAGCCAACCCATACCCAGCCCCAAAGACCCAACCATGACCCGAGTAGCCAACCCATACCCAGACCCAAAGACCCAACCATGACCCGAGTAGCCAACCCATACCCAGCCCCCAAAATACCCAACCCAGACCCAAATAGCCAACCCATGCACAAACCAGATTCAAAGTCCTAATCTATATATAACCCAACCCAGACCCAAACCAGAGCAGACCCAACCCAGACCCAGCACGTAAATGGCAAGTACCTCAGCACCTTTACGACGCACGAGATGGGTTCTCTCTCCCACCCAGACCACACACACACCAGTCACGACAAGTCCATTATGACGTCATATAGGCCTACCCTATATAGCTGCCCCTTCAACTGACCAGCACTCGTCGCCCTCCCCTCCCACACAGGTCACATGACTGGATTCCCTACCCCGCCCAACTAAAGTTGACTCGAATTATTATCGTAATTATTTCCAAACCTCCCCGTTCAACAAGTCTACACAAAAAGGCTTCGTATAAATAGAAATAGAATCAAATTACTGTGTGTAATTAATGAATGGTATCAACCCAGTCCGCCTAGTAGGGTGCTATTCTCACAGCTGTCATGGACGATAAAACGTGTTTTGTTTAGGTCGCATTGTTAGAAGCATTACACCCTAAATAATTAAACTAAAGCTTTAAAAATGTTCAGATCTAATACTTTAATACCTGATTTGTAATTTATTCCTCTGAAACTGAGGATTTGGTTCTTTTTTTTTAAACCTTGAAACAAAATACAAAATAAAAAAAAATAGCCACTTTTATATCTTTTGAAATTTGAAACACAAATTTTGACCGGTTATTCATTCGGTAGTGCCAACTCTTTCAGTTAATTTTTACTTTCTCGTATATACGAAGTATAGAGAAAGTCTTGTTTATTCCTACCTTCTCAAAGAATTTTCATTAATGCTTCGCATTTCGCGGTGTGCAATTAAAAGTTTGTATACGTTTACGTGCATAATCGATAATTCGCATACGTTTGTGTTGTTTTTTGTTGCTCCGTGTTGACAAGGAAACAAGGCACATTGTTGTGGGGTTTTCCAGTATTGATTAGTTACTTAAATTAGTAATAACATTTAATGTATCCAATTGTTCTAATATAATTTTACATTAAAAACAACAGCATAAAATACATGTCGTGACGATCTTGTAAAAGTAATGACCCTGGTATATTGACGGCCCTGGTATATTTAGGGCCCTGGTATATTGAGGGCCCTGGTATATTGAGGGCACTGGTATAATGAGGGCCCTGGTATATTGAGGGCCCTGGTATATTGAGGGCCCTGGTATATTGAGGGCCCTGGTATATTGAGGGCCCTGGTATATTGAGGGCCCTGATATATATTTTTACGGCCCTTGAATATTGACGCCAATGATATATTGACGGCTTTGGTATATTGACACCCCTGATATATTGACGGCTTTAGTATATTGACACCCCTGTTATATTGACGCCCCTGGTATATTGACGGCTTTAGTATATTGACACCCCTGATATATTGACGGCTTTAGTATATTGACACCCCTGATATATTGACGGCTTTAGTATATTGACACCCCTGATATATTAACGCCCCTAGTATATTGACGCCCCTGATATATTGACGGCCCTGATATAATCTGCATCTCAAATTTACACGAAAACATCACACAGACAGTGATGATCAATTGTATAG